TGTTAAGCATGACTCATAGCAACGCTATGAGCAAGAGAGATCTGAGGTTGGCCCTATCCTGTGCCATCCTCCCTACCTCTTATATACTTGAATCCATCGTTATAGTCACTGTGTCAATCCATCTCATTGAGGATTTTTCTCTCTTTCACTGACCCCTCCGTTTCCAAGCATGATATCCTCTTCCAAGGCCTGCCCCCTTCCTAACAACATGCCCCAAAAGATGAAGGTTTACCATCCTTATGTCTGCACCTTGGTTACGCGTCTTCCAAAGCGTATTTGCTTGTTCTCTTGGCAGTCCGTGGGATAGTCTGTATTCTTCTTCAACACTACAACTTAAAGGTATCAGTTCTTCTGTTACCTTATTCATTGTTCAGCTTTCGGATGTATAGCAAGTAATTAAAAAGACCATGACTTGGATCAGAGCCAACTTGGTCTTTAAACTAACATCCCTGCTCTTTAGAAGTTTGGAGAGATCCTTACCAGCAAATTTTCCCAATGTGTCTTCTGATCTCTTGATTGCTGGTCCCAGGTATGTTGATTCTGGATCGAAGTAAGAGGAAATTGTTGATAATTTCAGTATTTTCTCCATCTCTCATGATGCTACTTATTGGTCCAATGGCAAGAATTTTTTATTTGTCTGCTTTCTTCTTGTTGATTTGTAGTCCATACCAAAGGCTGTAGTCCTTGGTCTTCTACATCAAGTATTTCAAGTCATCTTCACTTTTCAGCAACCGAGGTTGTATCATCTGCATAACAGGTTGTTAATGAGTCTTATTCTCTTGATGCCACACTTCCCTTCATAAAGTTCAGCTTCTTGAATACAAACTAAATAGATATGGAGGAAGGATGCAATCCTGTCTCACACATTTCCTGATTTTTAACCATGCAGCATTTTCTTGTTCTTTTCAAACAACATTTTCTTGATGTAGGTATAAGTTTTGCATGAGCACAATCAAGTGTTCTGGGATTCACATTCTTCTCAATGTTAGACATAATTTGTTTTGATCCACACAGTCAAATGCCTTTGCATAGTCAATAAAATACAGATTCCTTCTGGTGTTCTCTGCTCTCAGCCAAGATATATCTGATTTTAGGAGATCAGCATCTTCTAAATCCAGCTTGAACCTCTGGCACGTCTCTGTCAATGTAATATTCTAGGCTATCTCACTGTGTAGCTGCTAGTGAAATCTGTTTATTGTTATTGTTGATGGTGGTGATGACGTCTCTCCAGTTTTGGAGTATTATAGGATGATGAGGGAGTCCCAAGCCTATACCACTTTCTTCCCACATCATGCAAGGGGCTATGGCCTCTCTTCAACCCCTGCAAATCTTTCCCTTCTTTGTGTCTGTTCTTGGGTTCCAAATACCATTTTCTTTCAAGCAAAGAAACTAAACTGGGGAGACTTTATCAAGATTGAGAACCACTCTCAACTTCCTTTATGTTTGAATGAAGTTGGGAAAAATCAGTTTTGAGTGAGAGAGCAAATACCAAACAAAAATGCAAGTGTGCACACAAAAGCTATCTATTATCCGATCCTGACTTTGTTGCTTAGGCAAGAAAAACACTGTGGAGTTTGTTGGGAGCGTTAGGGCTGGTGCCTGCTTACTCCAGTGTGCCAGGAACTTCTGAGTTTTTATCAACATTGGGTCTGTTCTATGTGCTAATTAGTCAAAGAGCACAACAAACACGTTTGCTAAATTTTGGTTGTTGCTGTTTCTCAATAGTGATTAAGATTTTATTTTACTTCATTTTATTTTCGTGGAATTGTAGACTAAAGAACTACAGGTACCCTCAAGAGCTTTCAGAAATCCCCTTGTTTTTTGGAAACAGAATTCTAAGCAGTATGAGTCCTTATTATCTGTGCAAAGTTAGACAGCAGGAGAGTGACAGCACGTGGGCAGAACCTGTTCTGTGATCCTATCAGTACTTTCCTCTTTAGCTCATTTTGCCTCCTGATGAAAAGGCCTAATTTCTCAGAGTAAACATCATTTTGACTTTTGCATGTCTATGGGAGGGAAAAATATCAATTTGTCATCAAGTCAATTTTACTGTGTTCCATGGTAGAACAGTGCTCTGTAAGGTTTTCAATGGCAGGTGTTTGGAAGTAGATCACAGGCCTTTCTCTGAGATACCTCCAAGTGGACTAGAACAACCAACCATTCATTAGCCAGCCAAGTACATTATCAGATTTCACCACCAAGTATAGTTCTGAAAGTTCCTTTTTTTTTTTTAATTGTCTACTTTAATTCTGCCCATCTCTTTTGTAATGACCCTCTTTGTAAGGGGTTGGTTTGGTTGTGTGTGTGTGTGTGTTTTGTTTTTTGGTTTTTTTTCTATAATTATATTTTATTAATTTTCATAAACATTTACAGAGATTTTGGGTTTCCATTCATTCATTGTTGCACTATTCTCTCTACCCTCCTCCCAGTTTGTTCTTGTCCGAATGCCACAGTGCTTGTTAAAGCCAGTTCTGATTAATCTTCTTTGTCAGTGTGTCCTTTGCCATTCCCTATCACTCCTCCCTGAGAGAGACTTCACCCTGAGTCATAAGGAAAAGGGGATGGCGTATTCTCTTAGCTACTTCCTGCTGAAAAGGGACGCTGTGGGTTTCAGGGTGAAGATCTTCTCTCACTACTCTAAAGGGCCCCTTTGGCAGTAGGAAACACATAGACTATTATGGAGATTGATTTTGGGATTTAGATGCACTCTTATTGATTGTGCTTGGCCATACATGTTCATATCCTTGAAGATAAAAGAAAAGATTCTTTCATTGTTTTACAAACCCTCCCCCAGGTCCCCTCCACCATGTAGCCCTCGCTCTAGTCTCCTGTGATGACAGAAATACCTAGTTATATATCTCTTTTAAACAGTTTTCTCCCTCCTCTGTTTCAGTGCAGTATACATTAGTGAACCCATCTTACTCAGTCTCTCCCCAACCCCAAGGACAGTCCCATTCTACAACAGTGGCATCATGTAATATTTGTCCTTTTGTGACTGGGATATTTCACTCAGCATAATGTTCTCCAGAGTCAACCATTTTGAATAATATTGCATGAGTTCCTTGTTTTTGAATGCAGCATAGTATTCCATTGTGCGAATATACCACAGCTTCTCTAGCCATTCGTTTGTTGATGGGCACTTAGGTTGTTTCCAACTCCTTGCTATTGTGAACAAAGCTGCAATAAACATGGGTGTGCATATATCTGCTTGGATGTCAGCTATGGTCTCTTCAGGGTATATTCCCAGTAGTGGAATTGCTGGGTCAAATGGTATCTCTATTTGCAACTTTTTGAGAAAGCGCCATACTGCTTTCCACAGGGGTTGCACCATTTTACACTCCCACCAACAGTGAATCAGGGTTCCAGTTTCTCCACAACCTCGCCAGCATTTGTTGCTTGCTGTTCTGTTAAATTTTGCTATTTTGACTGGGGTGAAATGATATCTCATAGTTGTTTTTGTTTTGTTTTTAAATACTACTTTAAACTGTGTGGCCTAATTTTAACCCTGTTTTCTCATGAGTTTTTCATAAGTAATTGAGAAATGCCTGACTTTCTTTGTTGTTGTTCAAGAAAAAAAGTAATTGAATCTTTCTTTTTCCTTACAGACACTCTGGAAAACGGACCCAGTAAGGATGATAGGTGAGTAGTATGGATTTTTAGGCCATTTGTGCCCTTGTTGTTATGTACCATCAAGTCAGAACTGACCCACAGCTGACCCTCCAATGGATTTTCAGAGGCAGTTCATTCACACAGGAGGAGACTGTCCATCTTTCTCCTGTGGAGCAGCTGGTGGATTTGAACTGTGTGCCCTTGGGGATCGCATTGCAGCTTTTTACCCCTAGGCTACAGAATGCCCCATGCTCTTGAGTTGTGGCATTTTTCAACTCACCTTGCAGTGAACTTGATCATTTTCTTTCTCTTGTGCTTAAATCCAGTGCAGCTAAGAAAAAGGGGCAGAGCAAGGATGACACATACTGGAAGGAGATCAACGCAGCCATGGCCTTGACGAATCTCGCCCAGGGGAAAGACAAGCTGCAGGGCACGGCCAGCTGCATCATCCAGAAGTCGTCGCACATAGCAGAAGTAAAGACAGTCCGGGTGCCGCTTGTGCAGCCCTTCTAGGAGCCGTGGCCTTCACACCCAGGGGCTGCTCCACACGCCAGCAATCTCCTCTCCTCAGAGCCACAGCAAGAGTGGAAACACCCTCTATGCCAAGCAGGGTCAGAGGAGCAGTCCTTCTTTCCCCACCTCATTTTTATTTTCAATTAACCTAAAAATATCATATAGTTGCTTCTATAAAAGATGTGTAACTTATAAGGAAAAAAAACCCAACCTCATTTTAATCAAAAATGGTAACTTATTTTATGTTACTCCAACTATGCATCTGATGTCTGCATTACCATTACAGTAAGTGCCTTGCTTCCCCCAAACAAGCTACAACGTGGGCATAGGGGAACAGCTATGCCTCAAGATGACAATGCCATTATGCTTATTAGTCTGTGTGTATCATTCCAGATGGACCTAAGCTTTCCAGGACTGGACCCATGATTGCTGAAAGTCCTTACCATGTATTCAATAATTTACATGTCAAAACTTGGAAATCTGTTCAGCCCAAGTGAAATGCTTCTTTTTTTGAGGGGGAACCCTATAATATTTTAAAGTGTTCAATGTGCTTTTCAGAGTAATAGTGGGATTTTCATGCATGTTTCTTGCCTGCATATTTCATACATTACGAACTTCTAAATTGAAAGGTAGGAAGATCCCTAAAACGTGTGCATTTCAGTGCTGATCCTTGAAAATGAATTGGAAATACCAACAAACACATTTGGCTCTGAAACCCTTTATTTCAAGGCTGGCTGGAAAGCACCATGATGCCCTTTAGAATTAATTTAGATTTTCTTTTTCTTGAGTTTGGCCAAAGTTGATTTTCTTTTTAAATTTAGAAGAAAACATTTTTGCAGAAATTACTCAAAATATTCCTGTATAGAACTGAACCTGTAGTTTAGTTTTAAAACATAGTACTGTTTGCATTAGAGCCCAGTGGGTTTTTGCAATTGAAACTGTATTTGAGATGGAATGACAAAAAAATATGTCTTATTTGGTTCATTTCAAATTACAATTGCTGATGGACAATTTATGTTGCAATGAGAACAAGACAATGAAAGAAATATACATATACACACATAATGCTGATGTTTAAATCTGAAACACATGGAAAGCCAAACATTGAACAGTCTTTGGGTTTTGCCAAGTAGGATGTTAAAGTAAAAATTAAGTGAAATCATGCATAAAAAGAAAGAACATTTTGTTTCTAAATTAGACTACCATTGAGTGAGTGTAATCAATATATATATAAAAAAAAGAAGAGTCTTTTTCAATCAAGCAATGATATTCTAATCAACTTGGGAAGACTTGAAACTTGAATAAACAATGGAGATGCCAAATATAACAGTGTATGTGCTATAGAAAACTGAAAAGGACTTGATTCTTTTATGGTGGGGTGTTTTGGTGGTTTTTTTTTTCAGGACATATAATCTATTTTGAAATTTTTTTTCTAAAACTGGAAGGGATTTTTTATATGTTGGAAAGCCAATACTACAGCCATGTGGTGATATTTTTCCTTATTTGCAAACTGCTTTTAAAACCAAAGGCTGCTCCAGTGATAACTTGGGACAATATCAGTCTTGATATAAATTGTGGGACACTTTCATGTAACATAGAAGTTGGGGATTGAGTTTATTTAGTGTAGTGAAGATAATTTGATATAAAAATATTTTTTTTGTGTGTATATATATATATTATATTTACTTTGTTCAAAATTGTTTGCAGTCACAGTAAGTGCAAAGCAAGATATGTATGTTATGACTGTATGATCAGATGAAGTATGAGTTCTTTTGATTTAAATCATTAAGGAGCTACAGATTCATGATAAAAACTTTGGAATCTTAACAAATGAACTTTTGCAACAAATGTGATAAATTATATGAAAACTAAGGACAAATACTTCACTCTTTTTCATACTATTATAAGTTATTCTGGCATTAACTATTTTAATACATTGTTTTGTTTTATTTTAACATATTTCAGCTAGACAAACAAATCCTGGTTGTTTTTTATTTTAACTAGTCACCATTCTTTTGTTGTTACTTTTTTTTAAAAAAAAAAAAAAAGGAAAACTTGTTCTATATTAAAAGCTATAAAAGACAATAGAGGATAGTATCCACATGATTTTTTTTAAATACCAAAATGAGTTTGACCTATAAGCACATCAAAAAGATTTCACAATTAGTACATCCTTGGCACCAGCTTCAATTACAATTATGTTTAATTTATTTTTTTTTCTTTTGCTGCTTTAACATTCTCTGGAAATTAAAATCCCTCCAATCCTTTCAAAGGATCTTGAACAATGCTGAGCCAGCAGCTGAGAATCTAAGTCATAATTTATGATGTAGAGAAATAGAATTACCTCGCTTCTTTGTTTTGCCATATGTATTCATTTTAATAAAATTAATAACTGCCAGGAATCCTTGACAGATTTAAAATAAAAGTTCATTTCTAGACCTCAATGATCATATGGATTTTGTTTCCTTTGAGAGTTGACCAGGTGGAGAAAGAAGTAAAACAGAGAGATCCATTATATGTTGTAATTCTCTTTGGGTCCCTAATGGATATGATACTGGAGCAATGAGTTTCTATTAAGTTTGCATTTCAACACCTTAGACCACCAACCCACCTTTTAAGGGTTGAGAGGGGGAAAAAGACTGTGATGCTGGCTATTTAAATATATACATTTAAAAGGAATTTTTCTACTAAATATCTTCTTTTGCTTGTCAGTACAGTATGCACCATTACTTTGTGCTTTGTGGTAGAATGAAAAATTTGGTTTGAAGATGAACAAATACGGATTCCAACTCTGCCAAACACTTCAGTAAGGTGCCATCTCTAGTCACTCTCAGTTTTAGTTTCTTCATCAGCAGACTGGGAGCTGAACTTTGTCAAATTGGCAGTAAGGTTGAGACAGAATATACGGATAGAGATAGATAGAGATAGATATCTTATATAGGCATATAAGATGCCTACGACAGTGCCTGGCAGAAAGTAGGCATCCAGTGACATCAATAATTATATTTCCCCCATAAACTTACTGCCATACAGTTGGGTTTGATTCCTAAAGACCTACCATCTGTTTTCTGAGGCAATAAATTGTAACGGAAGATCACTGATCAAAACAACCATGAGATATCATCTCACCCCAGTAAGAATAGCAAAATTTAACAGAACAGCAAATATTAAATACTGGCGAGGTTGTGGAGAAACCAGAACCCTTATTCACTGTTGGTGGGAGTATAAAATGGTGCAACCACAATGAAAGGCTGTATGACGCTTTCTCAAAAAGTTGCAAATAGAAATACAGTTTGACCCAGCAATTCCACTACTGGGAATTTACCTTAAAGAAACCATAACTGCCACTGAAGCAGATATATGCACATCCATGTTTATTGTGTCTTTGTTCGCAATAGCAAAGAGCTGGAAACAACCCAAGTGCCCATATGCAAACAAATAGATAGAGAAGCTCTTGTGTATTCACGCATTGGAATACTATGCCGCATTGAGAAACAAGGAACTCATGCAATATTATACAAAAGGGTGACCCTGGAGGACATTATGCTGAGTGAAATATCTCAGTCCAAAAGGACAAATATTGCATAGGGCCACTGTTGTAAAATGGGACTGACATCAGGGTTGAGGGAACGCAGAGAAGGAGAGGAGGAATGATGTATACTGCACTGAAACAGAATGAGGGAGAGAACTGTTTAAAAGGGATATATGATTAGGTATTATTGTCAAGACAGGAGTCCAGAATGAAAACTGTACACTGGAGTGGACTTGGGAGGAGAGATTGCATAACAATGAAAGAGTTTTTCTTTTACTTTTTAAGGAGAAGAGTGAATTGGGGGTCAGGGGGAAGGTTGGAAAGGGAGAAAAGTGCAACAATCAATAACTGGAAATCCGAAGTCTCTGTAAACTTTCATTACAATTAATTATAAAAAAAAATCATGGAGCCGCTGGTGGGTTCAAGCCACTGAAATATGTAGCATCTGGGTTAGCAGCACAGTTCCCTATGGATTAGACCATCAGAGCTCCCTAGTTCCATCATAGAGGAATATAAACAGTATGAGATGTGGGTAAATTAACAGAAGCAAAAGAAAAGCCATTTTAAGAGCCCAGCTGCTGTCAAGTTCATTTCAACTCATGGTAACCCAATGCATGTCAGAATACAATTTTGTTCAATGAAGTTTTCAAAGACTCATTTTTTAGGACTAACCACCACACCTTTCTTCCAACATACCTCAAAGTGGGTTTAAAGTTTAAACCTCCTGCTTTTCAGTTAGCACCCAGACTCCGGATAAACACAGCACATGCATCTTTTGGGAAATGAGACAAGATGTTTGACATGAATGACTGCAGGAAAATGGTGAATGTTCGTACTGGAGTTAGAGAGAGAGACCTTCAAGGGAGATTGTTTTTTTATTATCTCTTTGAACTTTCTGCATAAAGCAACAAAAAGGTAAGGAAGAACAGACATGCCAATAAAAACCAAAGCGTGCACAATAGTTCCCTTCATTCAGATAAACTAAGAATTTCTCTGTTTACCCTGCTTGATACTATTCAAGACGACTAAGAACTCAAACTGCTGTCTGTATTCTCTGCCCACTCCAAGGAGCAATGTTTAACAAACAGTGGCAACAGCCGTGGTCTGCTTTTAAAAGCGTCCAGCTCAACAGCATAACATCATGCAAATAAACACAGAATACGAACATGCAAGCCTGACTCGCTTCTGTCTGGGACAGCATACATATGGTCATGCCTGGGAAGGCAATGTGGGGTAATGGCAACAATTTGGGTTGTCACATTCACACTTTGAAGAATAAGTTTAAAGCCTTTATACCCTGGTGTTCCTTTCTAGCAAGTTAAATCTGTATTACCTACTATAGACCTTTTGGAAGGATTAACAGATAATGGATACAAAACTCCTTTGTAAACTGCATTTTAATTAGCACCACATCAGTTCTAACTCATGGCCACCCCATGTGTACAGAGTTGAACTGCTCCATAGAGTT